CCGGATCTATGAAGTTCAGATTCCTCCAGGTGGGTGTTGCTTGGATCTGGCTGGGGTTTGGCTGCTGTGCTTCACTTCTTCCTGCTGCAGCCCTTGGAGCTGAACCCTTTTTGTCTCTCTGGCAAGATGTTCTGCTCCTAAATCAGCAGGGTGGGTCTTGCCTCTAGCCTCTTTGCAGGGAGTTCTGCTGACGGGTTTCATGCTGGGCTTGCGCTCTGGGTCTATTCAGGATCCGTGGGCCCCAGGCGGTCTCACTCACACATAGGTCTGTGCGCTGGGTCTATCTGGGATCCGCGGGACACAGGTCGTCTCACTCACACCAAAATCTTACTGTTTACATAATGTGTTTTATTTTTATTTTTGGTGGAACTGGGGATTGAACTCAGGCCCTTGTGCTCGCCAGAGAAGCATTTATTCCACTGAGCCATCTTCCCAGCCCCAGCATAATGTGTTTTAAATAAATGCCTTTAAATCACTTTAGCTTTTAAAGGGAGGTATATTTAGCACAGTAATAGAATTAAAAATGGATTTCCCCCTAAGTCTCATCGTAAAAAGATTCTGTAATTTTCTACTTGTTCTGCTTTTTTGAGACAGTCTTACTACTATGAACCCCACCCAGGCTGGCCTCAAACTCATGGCAGTCTGCTGGCCTCAGGCTCCCAAGTGCTGGGATTACAGGCAAAAACCACTATACGTGGCCCGATCCCACACTATTAACATTTCATATAGATCTATTTATGACAGAAATAAAAAGTTCTTCCACCACTCCAGAGGTATGAAAGAATGTGATTTCATGTGAGAATGTTATAAATCAGAGGTTGACAATTTTTTTTTTTTTTTCAGAACTGGGGGTTGAACTCAGACCCTTGCGCTTGCCAGGAAAGCACTTATTCCACTGAACCAGCTCCCCAGGCCCTTGACAAATATTTTTTGTAAAGGACTAGGGAGTAAATCTTTTAAGATCTGCAGGCCATGCAATCTCCGTTAGAGAGCAGCCATGGGCAATGCAGAGGCGAATGCTGCTGTGCGCCAGCAAGGCTTCAGCTACTAAACAGGCTGTTGGCCGGGTCTGGTCTAGAGTCATGGTGTGATTACTCGGCTGTGAACCAAAATGGCCCGTGTTATAATTCACTTATTCCCTATGTCCTGCCAGAGTAAATGAAAAGAACAGTGCTGGTTAACTAAAGTGGCATAATAGGCAATAAACCACAAGCTGTTACTTATTTAAGTATATATCATATTAAATATAAAAGAAATTAACACAATGCTAATAGTAACATAAAATATGAGCTTGTGGTCCAAAACCTGTACCTGATGTTGGAATTTTTTTAGTGGAACCTGGGATTGAACTCAGGCCCTTGTGCTTGCCAGGCAGGTACTTATTCTACTGAGCCATCTCCTCGGCCCCTGACCTTGGGGATTATTGCTATAGGTGTTTTAGAGTAAATTTTAGCTAGGGGAACCAAACTGGCCTCATTACATTTGCTAAAATGAGCACAGTCCATCTTCTTATATAACAGTTTAATTTTCTCATAAAAAAGAAAAAAAATACTGCTGTTGAGGCTTAAGTATCTCTTTTTGATCAGCAGAGTATTTACATGTGAAATAAGGTAAGTTATTTCGAAAAGAGCTGAAAGTATCCAAGAAGGTTCGAAGTGTAATTTACTGCCTACCTGGTAGTGATATGCAGGTTGCTGATAAATGGGCTGAGCTACCATCACAGGAGAACTAGACATGGAACGTGACTGTAGAAGAAAAGAAAATAGAACTGCTTTAGGCAAATTCCTTTAAATAGCCCATAATAAGACATCTCAAGTTGTTGCATAAACCCAGTGAACTTTTCGTAAATGATGAGAAGTGAATTTCTTTACTTCTTATTGACACTATTACCAACTCTACTAGTCTATTTAGTCATCAAAGTATGTCCATTTCCACGCGTGTCACTTCCATAGTAATAGTGTACTAAAACAACAACAGTACGAGAAAACTTTCACCTCAAATGCACCACCTACAAAGATTACCAAAAATAGGGGTACAGGGGAGATGGCTCAGTAGAATAAGCCCTTGCCTGGCAAGCGCAAGGGCCTGAGTTCAATCCCCGGTTCCACACAAAAAAAAAAAAAAAAAAAAAAAGGTAAAAAGATTACCAAAAATATGTCACAGAGAATATTTAGAGAAAAATGGCAATGAAACTGAGGGGTGCACTGCCTATCTCTACTGTGGAAAGCAGAAGTAGATAATGTTTACAATAGCATTTAAAACTGAATAGCGCAAGGGTCTGAGTTCAATCCCTGGTTCTGCAAAAACAAAACAAAACAAAACAAAACAAAACAAAACAAAACAACCCAAAAAACAGAAACCAACCAACCAACCAAACAAAAAACCTGTATTAATAATCCCATCTGATTTTTCCATTGATTTTGCTACTAGAGTAACATTTATTCCTTTGTTATACATTTACTTACAAGCAAATTTACTTATTTACTGAAACATCTGTCAAATTCTTTTTGTAGTATATTTAAATGATTACCCAATAAACCTGTGAAAAACGTCTATATCTGAAGTATAAGCAACACTTGACTTTTCAACATGACAGAGTAAGCCCTAAATAGATTTAATGCCAAATTGTTAATAAAACACATACACACTCTATTTCAAGACATAAAAGTCACTCTAATTAATTGTTGCAAAATTTAGATTCTAACGTGGGAATTTACTATTGTCTTCATGTTCACACCTCCAAAACTGAAAGAAAAGTATCATGATTTTGTAAGCTGTACATATTTTAATATGCAAATTAAATTGTACTACAGATTAACATTAGAAAATAAAATTAAAATTTACTACAATAGGTTAAAAGAAAAAATGATAGTCTCAGCAGACATGGAAAAATATTTAAAAGATTTTCTTTTTAGAATAAGACCTTGTAGTAAACAGAATAGAAAGTAACTTCCTAAATTATTTTATGGCAACAGCTTTCCCTGTGGGCGATTCTGTTTCACAGGGCTCACGCGGCCATGCTGGAAATGCTGGTGGCTTTCGTAACTGTCTCTGAACCTCTGCAGTGCGCAGGATGGCTCTCCCAGCAAAGGGCCACTTGGCTCCAAAGCGCAGTCGTGACAAGGCTGTAAGAGTAATGAAGAGTGCCTCCCAACGCCTCCAGAGGCAGACAGAGCAAGACAGAGCTTAATGGTGAGTCAACAATGAATGTGTTCCTTTTTTCAATAATAA